GAATCCTCAAAGTGTAAGGGAAGAGGATTTAAGAGAAATAACGAGTAATCTGAATGAGTGTATAACCGATGAAAGACTAAATGATTATTGCCACTATGTACTGACATTGAACTTTAATAGAAGTATATAAACAAAAGTAAAATAGTTTTTTTTTATTTTTTCATTTTCTTCGGCTTGAAACGATCCAGAACACTAGTAGGTGTTTCCAAAGGTAAAAAGTCTTCACCGACCTCCTCTTGCTTATGCGTTGCAATTATGGATTTTTTGGTTTGCCGGATGTTTGCAATGAATTCCTGTAAAAATATTTGATTTAGAAATTATTTGAAAGTCGGGTCTTTTGCATGTGCGCGTTTTACCTTTCTCTTTATGTCCTTAACAATTTGTTTATTACGGGCCGCTTTAACACTTCCGCCACGACCCTTCATTTTACGACGTGGGTTTATTGTCACCTGGGGTGGTTTAAGAAAGAATAGAGCTTTTTTCGCGTCCACTTTCTCTTGAAGTGAGGGTACGTCAACAGTGGTAATATCATTAGGATCCAAAGTGATCAGCTCTGCTGGTATTTTTTCGAGTAGGGCATGTACTTCACGTTCACGTCTTTGCTTCTTTGTTTCATAAGGATTATCTTCTAACGCGTCATAGTTAGGTTCACCTGAACCTGGTACTAATAGCGACTGAAAACCATTGGCTGTTGCAATACCCAAAATGTCTTCATACGGACAAAAACGCATACCATGTACAAAAGTATCAGAATAATGCTTTAAATAAGGCTGGCTTGGCTTTTTCTCCATTACAAAATTAGTGTACATCTCGCAATTTTTGCCCTGGCTAAGAGCTAGAACACCCCTTTGAGAAACGTCTAATTGATTTGCTGGCACGCGAAGTCTGTACTGAACCAAAGGACCGCTCAAAGCTCGTATATCCCAAACTTTAACAAAACGATCCAAACCTGCCGTTATCAAATGTTGACCTTTGTGGTCTACCGTTAACGTTGATATAGGTGTAGGATGACACAATAGTTTAGCTAAAGGTTCTTTAACCTTCGGTGACCACATTGACACTACGCCTTTGCCACCGCCTATACATAGGACTCCATTAGCAGGATTATGCCGCATTAAGCGTATGGCTCCCACATTAGTATTGAAATTACCCACCAGTTCTCCTATCGATACGTCCAACCAGGAAGCATATCCATCATTATTACCCGTAGCCAAAAGAAATGGTAAGGCAAAAATTCCATTCTGTTTACCCTATATAACCTTTTAACACAATGCAATTCGGTTCCCTGGTTATCGTACACATAAACGTGATCCTTTTGAGCGCAAGCAAACATTGTGTGTGTATGAAAGAAGCTTACATCCGCTACCTCTTCCATAACATTCATTTCACAATGTAATTTTTTAGTCACCCAATCAAAGGCCGCTACATGGCCTTTCCGTCCACCCAAAAGTAAATGGCGACCGTTTTTAGAATAACGCATACAATAGGGTCCAAAATCCAAATTCAATTTAAAATGCTTGGCTGCCGATTGTATATCAACATTTTTAACTATATCTGCCTGACGGTATTGAGCCGTTATTTCCCCATCACCGGGTTCTATAAAACCCTGTGGCTCCGATAATAATATTTCAGTGCGGGCTGCTTGTTCAGTAGCATATTCCAAATAAATTTCTTTACGCCGTTGCTTCTCTTTAAAATAGTTCGTTTTAATTCCATCAGTGTCTACCCGTTCACCTCTTGTGTGTTTATTTAATACTTCTTTGGGAAGTTTTGGTCGCTTGTCCAACTGTGGCCGGAATTTTTTAACGTATGTTTTAGATTTGAAGGGCTTTTGTACACTTTGCTCCACTTTAATAATTTCTCCTTTAAAGTCTTGTCGTTTGCGCTTAACTTTTATCTTTTTTACCTCATTTTCATCCACCGTGTCTTCAAAATAACGTTTATTTTTGTGTTTACTGACGTTCACTTCATCATTTGCATTTTCAGACATTTTTGTTATAATTTTTTTTAATTAATTGATTTGAAGAATTCGAACGTGCTCTACGAGAAATCGTTGTTGCATTAGTGTTTTTGATAATGAGTAACGTAAGTGAACATAACAAACCGGAATACTTAATTGTGAGAAATTTGAAATATCATTGATTTATACCAAGTGCTGAATTGTTATCACCACCTATTTTTTGTTTTTTATAATAATATATATTTAGGTAAAGCTTCGGCATTTGCTTTTTTAATCCTGACGGGGATCAAAAATCTTTGACATTTAAAACACAAAAAACCCTAAGCATAGACTACATATTCCAAGACAATTTTTAAAGTCTTGGAGAACGCGTCTAGTTGGACGTTGCGAGGCGTTTCAATTTTGTTGGTTCAATAGCAAGACTTTATGGAACGTTCTTTCGGCGACTGCTATCGAATAATATTTCACAGATCTGCGGTGAAAGCGAAAAAAGTCTATTAAGACAATTTAATTTCAGCTTAAATACATATAATTAATATGTACTGAATCATTCTGTATTAGGTTGGCAAAATGCAACCCTAATTCTAATTCCATTCTATCGTTTAACTTGTGTTCACTTATGCTCAACACTGATAAATCAAACTTGACATAATCACATTCAAATTCAATATTCTGTATGGCAAGAATTGTAATATTCATAAAAGAGAGCAATTAATATGACAAATTTTATAGAAGTCGAATGATAATTAACTGCTAGTGCAATCTTTAACAATTAAAATTGGCATTAAAATGCCTTGTCCGTGAAATTCGCCGAAGAAGTGAAACAGGTTGTATCATTGAATCAAACAAAGAAATTAAGAATGAATTCCACCTGCGAGAACTAATCGACAGTTGTACACAGTTGCTTAATTGACTTTTGCACATATTTAATTACAGTTTGTAAACAAATTTCTTCTTGTAAACAGACTGCTTTTAGCGCTGATATTTAATTTAAAGAAATTAATAATATTTATTGTGAAGCAAAAATTTGTTTTTATTTATCAATTAAAACAGGAAGTGCATTTGCATCCAAATTTCTCACGTAGCTGAATTCCTATTTTATAAATAAAGAACATTCCTCGTAAATAGAAGCACAATGTAGGTAGATAAGATTTGTTTGGATGTAATGAGATTTTTCTTGACATAAATATATATATTTTAAGGTAATTTTAGTTTTAATATTAACAGGAATATGCTATAATTCTGTTCAATTCGCCATATGTTCGACAGAAAATGTTATCATTCCTACAAACATACTAACTTTTTTTGAAGTAAAAGAAAGTTAATGAGTTGTTTAGATTTATAGACAATCGTTGGTTTAAAGGTGCTCTTGTTGTTATAATATATCCCTTCAGTTTACTAATTCTAAAATGGAAACCTTAGTTGATCAAAGAGTTTGCCTAAAGTTTTGTGTTGCAAACAAAATTTCGTGTGCCGAATCGCTGAAAATGTTGCAGAAAACTTACGGTACATCATGTATGTCAAAAACGCAGGCATATGGATGGTACAAAGCATTCAAAGAAGCTCGGGAGGTAGTAGTTGATCTGCCTCGTTCTGGCCGACCTCCAACGGCGAGGAATGACGAAAATATCAACAAAATACAGAGGTTGATGTTGGAAGCTGGGGCTCGCATGAGTCTTAGGGAGCTAGCGCAGGAGATGAACATATCCTTTAAATCCGTTCATAACATTCTTACTGATATTTTGGGTATGAAACGTGTCGCGGGACGGCTTGTTCCGAAAGAACTTAATTTTGTCCAAAAAAAACATCGAAAGCAGGTCGCTGAAGACATGATTTCACAAGTCTCTACAGATCCTACTTTTATGCATCGCATAGTAACTGGCCACCATGCATGGATTTATGAATTCGATACGCAAAAAAATCAACAGTCTTCCGAATGTTGTCTCGAAAATGAACCGAAATCCAAGAAAATACGCCAAAGTCATTCGAGAATTAAAGCCATGTTGACAGTTTTCTTCGATTACCGTGGGGTAGTACACTGCGAATACCTTCCAGAGAAACAAACGGAAAATAAGGAATACTATTTGGAAGTGATGAAGCGTTTGCGGGAAAGTATCCGAAAAAAACGCCCGGAATTATGGAAGGACAATTCGTGGATTTTGCACCACGACACTACGCCCCCGAACGAAGCCATCATTGTTCGCGAATTTCTAGCTAAAAACTCGACTAACGTGATCGGACAAGCTCCGTACTCACCTGACATGTCCCCTTTCGATTTTTTTCTTTTTGCCAAGTTGAAATTGTCGCTCCGAAGGGGGCGCTTTGAAACGATGGAAAGTATGAAAGAAAACTGGTTGAAAGAGCTAAAGGCAATACCCCAGTCCGCGTACATGATATGTATGGAAGATTGGGTCAAGCGCTGGAGCAATTGTATTGTAAATGATGGAGCCTATTTTGAAGGGGATAAAATAAATTTTGACGAGTAAAATGCTGAATATGAACAAACAAATATAAACACGTTTACTTATAGACAATAAAATATCTAATGTATTATAAACAACTGAGGTGAAGCTGAATATAATTCCTTTTTTGTAGGAATCTCCCATCCGGTTCATTATTGTCTCATCATTTTTTTTTTTACACAAATTGTTAAAAAAAAGAAAGAACTTTATTATTAGCACTTTCTAATTTATAAAAGTTCAATTACGTTTAAGAAAAAATAAAATTATATATTTTCCCTTTCTATTCGGCGTCTTCATCTTCATCATCGTTAGAGCTAATTCTGAAATAGCGCAATTCATATGAGTCCTTATCATCGGCTACCACACGAATCCAATCACGTAAGCTGTTCTTCTTTAAGTATTTTTTGGTTAAATACTTAAGATATGCTTTGGAGAAATGTACATCGGAATTGACATACAACTTCATTTTAACACGTTCGAACGTGACATTATTACCCAAATTGTTGACTTTTCCATTGACCTTCAAGCGAGCCTTGACATATTTTTCCTAATTGCAACAAGAAATGAGATAAGAGATAATAAGTAATTGAGGCACACAACAAATGGATAATAAAAGCACTTTTAAAATTTACTGCACTTGTCCCTCCTTCCTCCTTCAAGTTCTTAAATTCAATTGTGATCAAAGAACTAATTGAACTGAAGAGAGTAGTAGATCAATAATATACCACGCTTACACTACCATTGGAAAGACAAATTAACATTTTCTAACGGTAAATTAGACGTGGCCAACTTAAGGAACAAAATTTTAAAATTGCTTTTTTTGTTAACCAAGAAAAATGAGTAAGAGAAGGAAAACTTAAAGTACTTCAAAAGCTTTTTTACCTTGCCGTCATCAAGTAAAGAAACCCAAAGAAGACAAATGGAATTATAGAACATTGCAGAATTTTAAGTAGGAGACCTGCAGCGCCCTATCTTGTTAAAACGCTTTAGCAGGGCACATTATGTATCTTAAGCAGAGTACTTGCGGTTGCAAGAAGCTATCTGCCAGAGCTCACCGTTTTTTAACGGTCTACATAATATGACTTGATGTTGTTCACAAACGGTTGCACCACTGGCCAGACCCGGTTCTGGCAATCAGAGGCTACCCCGTCGTACAACATCCAGAGCTCTTCTATTAAAAAACGTCTACTAACAGCCGTTTAGGCTTTTTTATGCATGTAACCAAGTTCTGCAGTGCATTAATTGCTCTTCACTACTTTATCTCCAGTTCAGAATTTTGGTTTTTCAATTTACTTACGAAGTCAGCCACATCCATGATATTATCTTCGGCTATGTTGGTGCAATCAATGCCAAAACGTAAGGAGACCTTCTTCTTCTTTAGACTTTTGCCACGTAAAATAACCTTCTTCCCCACCTTGCCAGTGGCAGCCGCAGCAGAGGCTGTTACACTTTTTTTCGGTTTAGCGGCAACCGGTTTAGCAGCTGCTGCCTTGTGGGGTTTTTCAGTAGCGGGTTTTTCCACTTTAGCTGCTGCCTCCTTAACTGGAGCCTGGCTAGCGGCTGCAGCAGCAGTCGGTGTTGAGCTTTTCTTCCCTTTTGCGGCAACGGGCTTAGCAGGCGCCGTTTTATGGGATTTTTCAGTGGTAGACTTATCGACTTTGGATGCTGCTTCCTTAACTGGATCAGCAGCTGGCTTGGCATCTTTCCGTGGCGCTTCTTTGGTGGCACCAGACTTTGTATCTTTTTTAGCAATTTCCTTAGCAGGCACAGATTTAACAGACTTTTTCACTGCTTCCTTGGAAACGGGGGCTGCTTTTGCATCTTTCTTCTTTGCAACTGCAGGAGCAGGAGCGGGAGTTTTGCTGGTAGCTGTCTTAGTCGCTTTGGCCTGTAAATTTTGAAGAAATTTTGAGAAACTGTTAATGAATCATATGAATTTAAAAAATAAGTTGAATGCGTCTATAAAATAAAGATTAAATGCTTTGGAAATTTAAAAATTACAGCATATTTTTAAAAAAATAGTTAAAGCTGACAAACAATACAAGCCATGTTGTTGTTTTAATTGCACCAAAAAAAGGACTTTGTTGCTTAATTAAGAAATCTAAACACATATTTCCTTCGCAAGAGTACAACCTTTATCAGAAACTTCAGGGGGCTTTCTCAGCCACATTATTATTTTACTTGCTTTAGGCTAAAATAAAATACCATACACATTAGCATAGTAAAGGAAATATTAATCTTTAAAATTCCAAAGCATCCTTCATCGGACGCCGATGTTTTCTAATTACTTTCGTATAATAATCATTCAAGTTGAGTTTATTTTAAAAATTTATTAGTTTTATTAACAAGCTTTTTTAATTTTGAGGAAAACTTACAGTCGGAGCCATCTTTACTTGTAAATGGTCACGAAAAAAAGAATTGATGTAGAATGCGTCAAAACTAATTACACTTCGGTTAAAGGAAATGTTCGGAAAACATAAACATGTCAAGACTCATAAAGCAGGGTTAGTTCGTAATTGTAGTAGAAATTTTAACACTTTTGTTATTATTGTAATATTTCTGCATATCGCATTAATAAGCAAATTTCGAATGGCTGTAATGACAAAACAACTACAATCATCCTGTTCCATGTAAAATATGATATTTCATTATAAAGACTAAAGTACATTAAAAACTTTAAAAATACAGCGTAGAAAGTTTTTCTAATTTTATATATGTTGTTAATCAGAAAGCAAGTAATATAAACTAAGTGAACACAGCGAAAAATTTAGCATTTTGTTGAATTTTAGAAAAGAAAGAAAATTTAGGGCATGGGTAACTCTAAAAATTCTTCGATATCTTTCTCGAATTCATATAAATAGAAATAGGTGTTCGAGAAACGCTACTACTATTTACCATGGAAATTGATAATTACCGTCTTCATTATATTACCGTAGGCATGATAAACTTACGAGTGGTTCCAAAAGTTTGTGCGAGTTGCACTGACCTACAGTTCTGTAACAAGTGATATTTAAGTATTATGCTTGCGTTACGTATAGAGATGCTATTATACATTGCACCAAAAAAAAAGAAGAAAGCCAAATGCAGAGGTCCGATAAAGATCTAACAAATCTGAAAAGATAAATCTAATGTGAAACTAAAAAAACTAACCAAAATTCAAATATTATGAGAATATACTACCAAGCAGATAAGCATAAATGTATAATTTGTGAAGTTTCTGACACGTTGCAAACGTTAAGTAAGAATAGAATCAATGCCGAAACCTTTAAGGAAATAAAATAACTTCAATAAGATTCGAAAATATAAATTTAGGTTATTTGTTAGATGGGCTAGACAGAGAGAGAGATAGAGAGAGATGGGCGCGATAAATCTATGTAGGACTAATTAAGACGCCAAAATGTATGATTTATAACATCGAAATTACAGCATAAGCCAATAATTCTTAGTTGTATAGGATCGCTGCTGTAGAACGATGCAAAAGACGAACGTTGATGTAGACAGGAACAACTAGAGCCCACAAAATAGACTTGGTAGACAATCAAAATGTATATCTATAGGTGGCATTCATAAATACCAAGATAATGACGAAAGTCGCGAATATGAAAACGAGGGCAATTTGCGTATAAAAAACGACTCTTCTTTTGAGTCAGGATCACGGGAAGTAAAGGCAGTAGCTATACATGACAAACAATGTTAATGAAATAACCGGCCCAGCTTAAAGCTTACAGAGCTTGTGCAGAGCTTGCTTAGTTTGCCGATTTCATATGAATTATCAAATATTGCAATTATTTATTCGTGAACAGTACAGATATCGCAAACTTTAAACGCATTACAAATAAATTCATTCATTCATAATTTTAACATTATCAACTTGTTTAAAATTTATGATTACATGTGCCTTCTATTTATTGTTGCTTTGACTTTATTGCTTTAATTATTATTACCTATAGGATGGTGCTATCAAATTAGATCAAAAATACATATTGAATATATTTATTTTAATGGCTGACCATGCCTATGTATTTTGATATTTATCCATTAAAATATAGGGATATTATGATTATAATTTACAGACCATTTCTCTTATTTTAATTATTGCAAACTGTAAGTAATAAACATTTCAAATCATTCATGTATTTATTTTTCGTTATTTATTGCTTTTCTTTATATGTTTAAAAAAGTAATTCGTAAAATCGAGTGAGTTTGCTGAGAAAATATTTACAATCCCATTTAAATTTTGTGTATTTTTTTTAATTCAAAGACACCCTGAATCTCTTGATAATTGTTTCTCTAGATTAGAGATAGTTTTTGCCGTAGAAAGAAACATCGGCAACACTTTTTCCATCCTTAAACGTGGTTTGTGTGATTTGCTAAAGGTAAGTTTTTTTTTTTTTTCCGTTTTGCTATATGGCGAAGAAGTTAATTGAATTAAATTCAATTATTTAAACGTGCTACTCAAATAGGCTAGTGTTAAAAAGTATGTGAGAAAAAAAGTTTAATGTCAAGAAAATATTAATATGTCTTAAGTTTTTAAAGTAGCCCGAGCGGCAAAAATGAAAATAAGAAAACTTCATAGACAGACAGAAAAGAAAGTGAGAGAAAATGAAAGAGTTATGCGTTGCCCGACAGTACGGTGTGTCTGAAAGAGACCTATACAATGTACAGTTTGCATGCCTGCAAATAGAAGACGATATGAGTAAAAGATACCACTAGAATAGTTGAAAACGCGTAAAATATCATGAATCGTGAAATAAATCTTCAGCATAAAGCGGACAAGTGAATAATTCTTTTTTAAGTTTTGCTGCTCTTTTTTTTTTTTGGTGAAAAATATGTCGTAGTCGGTGAAATGAAAGATAATTTTTTTTAAAATATCAAATAAAGAGGAATTTCTCATTCTGTGTGAAAAAGTAAAACGTGGAAAGATTTTTAAGGACATTAAATTTATAGATTTCGAAAAAGTTTTTCTATTCCTTGCGAATCCCTAAGTAAATAAAGTGTAAAAAGTGTGAAAAATACCGATATATGTAATAAATTGAAGACGTTTTTTTTTTATTTCAAAAACTCATTCTCGTTTTGTTTTTATACGATTTGTTGTATTTAGCTAAAATATTCCCTCTAATGTGCGTGGTGAATGAGATGATTTTTTTATTTAATACATAAGTCATTTCGGAAGCAATTCGATATTTTAATTTATTGAAAAACTACATGGTCATTTGCCTGTTATAAGTATTGTGCTCAAGAGTGTGTGAACGGCGGACTCTCCCCGCCCTCATACATAGACACAATTCACGTACATATACACCAACATGTACCCTCGAAATTACATTAACCTTTTTATTTTTGATTTTTTGATTTTATATTCAGTAAATGTCTGAACGTAAAAAGGTCTTTCGTTTTTACAGAAAAATGAGCAGCTCGGAGGAAGTCTCTTGGGTTACTTGGTTCTGTGGTTTACGCGGCAATGAATTCTTTTGCGAGGTAACTACTATCATAATTTCCGTTTAGCTTTAACTTACCATAGTTAATTAATTTAATTCTATATAGAGTTTCTTGTACTAGTATCTTAACCATATACCTCTTTATTTTTATTGGTTATCTAATCATGTGAAATTTATTAGCAATTAAACAGTTCTGGTTGCACAAAATCTAGGACAGGCACAACGAAGGGTTCGTTTAATACATACTTTCAAACTTATTTCAAACCGACTCACGGTTGTCGCCGGTTGTACACAGCTGCTGCTTAAACATGTGCAAAAATGTTGAGGAAGTAATCTATTTCAGCGTTCTTCCAAGGAACGATTAAAAGGGGAGAGTATAAGCGAAAAGCAATAGAGGATATTTGACTGATAGACCGATAGATATCTGAAGTTTTAAGTAATAAAGAAGTTAACGAATAAGTGCTTTAAAAGCTCAATACACTCTGTAGTGATGTACAGAGATCACGTTGTTTTCTTAATAATTTCATGATCTTTCTCTTGGCTTGAATATCGTTATTAAAGTCACGCATATCTACTGAAATCAATTAGTTCTAACCTCCTTCTTCTGAGGAAGTTTTCAAGATCTCTTTCCTTTTACTCTCAATTTCCCATACAATATTCAATTTTCTTTTTAAAGTCATCAAGATTAACGAGTTATGGTTTACAACACCCTAAGATCTTATACGCACATCATGCTCTAAAATTTCATATGTACGTGAGATTTTAAATTGATTCAGCCATTCATTGCTGATGCTCCTACGGCTCTAAAGATTGGGGTAGTATTCTAATTTTTTGTAAATAGCGTTAGATCTATACGCACTTTTAAACCATCGATATAAACATGATATATATATATATATATATATATATATATATATATTCATTGAAAATACTCCGAAGAATGAAATTGATACAAACGGCTCCGTATTTGAAACAAATAGAACAACACGTGAGATTTCATGTATTCCTAGCCTAGTCACGTACTGTTTCACAAAAGTACCTTAAGTTGTGAGGGATCGCTATTAAAAGAAAAAAGATATCAAGGGCGAAGTAAATATCCATATAAGTTTATTGATTAATAAAGAGACGAAAGGTCAGTAATTCAGCAATGCAGTTAATGAAAGATCGCATTTATTGACTCATCTAATGTTCTTCACGTAATATTATAATCATTACATATAGCTGGGCGTTGTCATGATGAAAATTTAACCACTTTTCTCGTCTTAAAAGGGAACGTGGTTTGTGTTTCATTAAGTGGACGAACTTTCATTAATTGCTTGACTAAGATACCGTTGCTTCCTCTTTTTCGAGCGAAAAACATTGTTTTGTTCTTCAAACGCACCGATCTATAATTAAAAGATTAAAGCTAAACATTTTGCTTCTTCTTCTTGTTCTTCTTGGTTAAAAGCAGGTTGTAGAACTGCTCTTAACAGTGATTTACGATTATTAATATATCATGTATCATCTAATTCAATATGCTGAATTGCTACATTCCCTTTTTCATTATAATTTTGAAAAAGAAAAGGAACAGAGTGCATTTTTAATATGTTTCACGGTCTGCTGATACAATATGGTTAATTTCCATAAAACTATTTATAAACAAGGCGAACAAGGTATACTTTTTTTATTATTGTCCATGAAGTGCTGGACAATTCTCCAAAAATATGATTTCAAATATATGTAAAATGTAAGATACATACGAGACGATAGATATATCATTTACATCGATTGGCCACAATTTCTTACTTTAGTAAATAAAAATCAATATAAATGTATTAGTAATATGTATTAAAAGTATATCCAAATTGAATATAAGTTAAATTTCTTTAGGAAAATAAAGCGAATGTATAAGGGCGGCCGAAAGCCGCTTATTACTTATGCTATTTATTGATTCGTTTTTCGGACGCAAAGCTTTATTATTATGAATATTTTACCAATATTTGAAATTATTATTGTTTTTTTCGTCTTTTTAGGTTGATGAGGACTACATACAGGATAAATTCAATTTGACTGGTTTAAACGAGCAGGTTCCAAATTATAGACAAGCACTTGATATGATACTTGACCTGGAACCAGGTAAATAGTATAAAATAATTATTGTAAAAATTTTTTTTTTTTTAATATTCAAATATATTGTTTTACGATATATTTCCGCTATGGCGGGGAAAACTATTAACAACAGAGGATGAACTTGAAGATAACCCATTGCAATCGGATATGACTGAACAGGCAGCTGAAATGTTATATGGTTTAATACATGCCAGATATATATTGACAAATCGTGGTATAGCCCAAATGATTGAAAAATATCAGACTGGTGATTTTGGGCATTGTCCACGTGTCTATTGTGAAAGTCAACCTATGTTGCCATTAGGTAAAAGTTTATTTACTTAATATTTTTTTCCTTCTGGTTTTAAAATCTTTAATAAAAATAAAAATAAATTATTAATTTCTTTGGTTTGTGTAGGTCTATCTGATATACCTGGTGAAGCTATGGTTAAAGTCTATTGCCCAAAATGTATTGATGTTTATACACCAAAATCATCACGTCATCATCACACAGATGGCGCTTATTTTGGTACTGGTTTTCCGCATATGTTATTTATGGTGCATCCGGAATATCGTCCTAAACGACCTACTAATCAATTTGTTCCAAGGTATGTAATAAAAACACTTCCCCACAATGTTTTGTGCTTGTTTAATTGGTGAAAGTTTTCGATTTCTTTTCTCAGACTTTATGGCTTTAAAATTCATAGCTTAGCTTATCAAATACAACAACAGGCAGCAGCCAATTTCAAAATGCCTTTACGAGCGGTAAATTTAAAATGAAATTTATTTTTTAATACAACAAAATATCAATATTAAAATCATATATCGTTTTCCTTTTTCTCCTTTCCCCCCACTTTATTATTATTATTATTTTTTTTTTAATTTAATTCTCCTTTTTGTTTTTAATTTTAAAATTCAATGTTTTTCGCTGAAAAAAATTACAATTTCTTCTTAATTTGTGTTCTTAAATGTAAAACACCGACAACAACAACAACAACAATAATAACAAAAAATTATTGTTCGTTCATATAACCTAACAAAAATTTTTTACATTACCCCAACCAACATTGCATTTACACTAACTCCTTAAAAAAAAAAAAAAAAAAAAAAAAAATGAAAAACAACGAAAATTTTACAAAACAAAAATTTAAAAAAATAAAAAAAAGAAAAATTAATAAAAAGCCCACAAAACAATAAAAACAATGTTAAGAATACAAACCAAACAAACAATAAATGCAAACAAAACAAAAAAAAAAGAAGAGAAGGGATAAAGACAAAAACCAGACAAGTAAACTCTCAAAAGGAATTCTCATCTACAAAACTTCTCCCATTCCCTTAAAAAAAAAAAAAAAAAAAAAAAAAAAAAAAACAAGCAAAAAACGCAAAAAGGAAAACTCGTTAGTTATTTTCTTTTAAAAAAAGAAAAACACCAAACACGCAATGACAACCACACGCGTAGAGTAATCAATTAACGCATCTCCATCAGAATTCATCACACTCTCTCACACATACAGAGAAAACTGTTTTGTTTTTTTCTCTCTATTTATATTTTCTCTTTTGATTATAGCATATATTGTAATAAAGAAAAATTAAATTTTAAATCAATTGCATCATTATCAGTAAACGGACATCTGAAACGCTCTTTCACGCCTTCAATATCTCACTTTATAGCTTACACTTATTTCACCTTCTTTTTATACCGAAACTGCATTGCACCCCCGACTCTTCTAAAATGTTCTCTTCACCTAGCGTGTCTATACATGTTTTTTATTTTTTAATATGAATTGTTTTGGTTTTTATCACAATTGTTTTAAAAAAAAATATCTGAAAAATAATATTGCTCAGATATTTTATTATATATAATGTATGTTAACGTGCGTGACTATGTATGTGTGCATGTATGTATGTATGTATGAATGTATGTATGAATGTATGTATGTATGTATGTATGTATGTATGTATGTATGTATGTATG